CGGCAAAAGTTGCACAAAATAATACTGTTCAAAAACACATAGGAAACATGTGTTTACAATTTTATCGTATTGAAATATTTTTGTCATAAATAAATTGTTTGATTCGTAAATATTATGTTTTTTTCATAAGCTATTCTAAACCTTTCATTTGGTACTCCAACTGAACAAATATATAACTTCAGTTAAGTTAGCTGTATGAAGCATATTTTGTTACTAAAATGACAAATCTTATATATAAAAAATGGGTTTTCCTATCCGAGTTCGTTTGGCTCTGCTGAGCGACCGATTTTCATGATAGAGGTATAAAATTGAAGATATGCACGCACAGATTTGCCATCAAGCATCGGCATATATTTAAATACTGTATTACTCGACCAAAAAACATAATTTGATTCGTTTTTGAATTCTCACATTAATTTAAGATGCATTTCACACGCAAAAATTATATAATCCTATATTTTCGTCTAAGAACTTTCATAATGTTGAGATTGTAGCACAACGGATTGAGTTATCAAATAATTAAATAACTTACGTCATCAATCCATAAATTGCTGTGGAGTACGCGTTTCAACCATCAGGTCATCCTCAGCTCCACTGTCAGCTGTGTGTATTGTGCTGAGGATGACCTGATGGTTGAAACGCGTACTCCACAGCAATTTATGGATTGATGACGTAAGTTATTTAATTAAGAACTTTCAGTTAAATTTCACAAAAGCAATTAGTTATTCTAATTGGACGAGTTTCAAGCAAACGCAAGCTGAAGAACCAACATAAAAACCATTTTTCATGAGGTTTTTTATTATTAAAATTCAATAGCTCCAGTATTGTTCATGATTTTTATATGTTTTGGACTCAAAATAATCCGTAAAGTGTAGGCTTTCATTTGAGATATTGATCGTTTGAATCAGTTAAGCTCATGATATTGTAATTGATTATTTCTAGGATTTAACATTTATTTTTACGCTGCGGAGCAGCATGGGTCCTCTCATACATGTTAAATTAATAAAAAACATAACATTAAACATTAAAAACATAAGTTTGTAAGCTAAATTAAATAATCATTAGCAATGATAACAGCTTTATCGTTAATTTAAAAAGTGGCAGCAACAAACCGTATTTAGTAGATTTAAGTATTGAATTTAATCTAAAAATAGTTATTTTAATATAAAACATATACCATAATCTCCGCAATTTCATGCAGATTACAACTGTGCAAATGTATTGATAATCGAGCCAGTATGAACAGAGATAAAGCGTATTTTGTGAGCGCAAACACGGAAACGCCATAAGACGTAATGAGTAAGAGAGAGACAGCTCAGACGTTAATAAACAAGCACACTACAACAGTTTACTTATTCTCCATAAGAATAACATGGGAATTTTTAATTAACAATTTTTTGGAATTTTCTCCGTAACCATTAGGCGCATTATAACGCTTCAATATACTAAATTATTTGTTTTTTTAAGCTCTACAAAATAGTTTGGAAAGAAATTTCAAAATTTTATGTTTTTAGGGTCAAAAATAGGAAAAACCCATTTTTACCCCATAAAAGCCCCGATAAACCCCTGTTCCCATGGTCCGATCATGCAGGTTCGCGATCTCGTTCGAATAAACGTAGGTTTACACGTTTGTACCAAATTTCATCAAAATCGGATCATTTTTGCTCGTGTTATCGCGCTAACGGACATATATATATATATATATATATAAATATATATATTATTTTCTTGTATTTTTAGGGCTACTAATATAATAAAATTAAAACATATATAACAAAGTACCCTTTTAGTAATTATTTTATTTTTCATGACGACATGTTTCGGAACTAAGTCCATTGTCAAGTCATTTTTACTATAACCTCATTCTTTAAACTAACAAAATTAAAAATATAATCATATGTAAAAATAATAAAATATGTTAACTAAATCTTAATACATTTTGGTATTAATTTATTCATTATACTATATGAATGTTTTTCTTTCTTTCCTTAGTTTTCCAATTTTATCGTAGATAGCTTGGTTTAATTTTGGAATCATTGTGTTGAGTATGTTGTTGGGGTCCTTTTTGTTGTGTATATAAATATTTAGCTCTTCTTTTACATTAAGTTTCTCACGTTCTTTTTCAAATTCTAAAATTGCTAGATTTTCTTTCATGTTCTTATAACTGTGGTCTGTGTTCATTATTTGGTCGGCGAAGTTCGACTTCATTGATGTTTGATTTTTTGATTTCAATGCTTGTAGATGTTCCTTGAATCTTGTTTTAAAACTTCGAGATGTTTGACCTATATAATAATTGCTACAGTCACTACAGTTTATCTTATAGATTCCTGATTTGTTGTACTTTTCGTCTTCATTATCTTCTGTGTGTTTGATTTTTTTATTGATTAATTGGAATATATTGTTCTTAGTTCTGTAACTTACCCTTATATCCGAATTTTTAAATGTATTTCTTACTGCTTTAGTCATATATTTGTTATAAGGTATACATATATATTTCTTTTTCTCTTCATTTTCCGTTGTTTTATTTTGCTATACTATTCCAATCATCCTTGGAGTCATAAAATCGCTACTTTCCATTCACTTATCCACAGACTTATTAATATTCCCTTGAATAAAGAAAATTTCAAAAAAGAGAAAAATACCATTAAATACTTAGCAGAGAAAAATGGCTACAGGGCAAAAATGATAGACAATTTGATAAAAAAGAAATTGAAAAACAAAATACAAAAGCAAAATAAAACAACAATTTTAGAATTTGAAAAAGAACGTGAGAAACTTAATATAAAAGAAGAGCTAAATATTTATATACACAACAAAAAGGACCCCAACAACATACTCAACACAATGATTCCAAAATTAAACCAACCTATCTACGATAAAATTGAAAAACTAAGGAAAGAAAGAAAAACATTCATATAGTATAATGAAAAAAAATAATACCAAAATGTATTAAATTTTGTTAACATATTTTATTATTTTTACATATGATTATATTTTTAATTTTGTTAGTTTAAAGAATGAGGTTATGATAAAAATGACTTGACAATGGACTTAGTTCCGAAACATGTCATCATGAAAAGTAAAATAATTACTAAAAGGGTACTTTGTTATATATGTTTTAATTTTATTTAAATATATATATATATATGAATTTGAACGGATGGTGTTTTTGGCCTCTAGGGACCTCAAAACGAAAAAAAAATCGGTCCCGGGTCCAGGTCTTACCATGAGTACTACGGTAATAGCTTATTCCCTATATGGGAAATTCGCTAAAAGAAACTCCAGAGAAAAAAGAAAGTTGACAAAACATAATTAGGTCACGCCTGCAAAATGATTTGCCACATGTAAGAGCTAATCCACTTGGTCTAATAAGACAAAGGCTAGAGATAATGAATCAATAGAGGAAGGAGAGCGCCGCTTAGTTCTTATACGGGAAAGACTAAACAATGAAAAACTTAAAGAAAGATACTACAGGATGAGCGTGAATCGTCAGCGATTGGAACAAGAATCTCCAGAACAATACTCTGAAAGAATTGAAGAAATTAAGATTTATCATCATGGACGAACCAGAAATGATTATCATTTCATAAGAACAGAAAGACTGGCAAACAAACTAAGTGATGCACGAAGATCTCGTGGATTAGTTTTTTTTCTTTAAAATCAGTAAATTCGCTGATACCCCATGTGAGATTAGCCAAAAACAGTTGTATCAAAAACAGAGAGTTGTCCATATTTTATTAGGCCGAATGAAAAACTAAATGTCTTTACCTAAGACATCGCAATGTCAGACACCATCTTTTCCTGCAATCGAGGTTCTTCTACGCTAAAAAGAAATAAAGTACCGTCTCAAGCCTTTTGGAATGATATGAAAGTTATTTCTCAGTCACCGGCACTAACAAATCTCTTAGAAGTAGAACAAAGGTTGTTTTATAACAAAAGCTTTAGTAGCATCATTTGAATGGTTTCAGCCAACAGCTTTAGGAATATTATTGTTATTTATTCTCTTTTCTGCACAAATATAAGCAAAATAAAAGTTGGTTATTTGAAGTTTTCAGAATTTTTTATGCAACAAATATTACTCTTAAACATAATGTTATACAAAATACCAAAGGGAAACTCGCCTAGTCATTTTGGTGACGGAACCACGTTGATCGGTAAAAGAATCACAGAGAAATTGGTGAACATCCGTATAAAAAAAATACATTGCCACAAACGAATTGAGAACCTCCTCCTTTTGTTGATAGTAGGGACAAGTTGGTTAAAAAGAGAACTCTCGTAGTTAGTTTGTTATGGATACATGTTTTTACAATTTTATTACTTTATTTATTTCATTTAGTAAAATTATAAATTAATAAAACACACTTTTCCCTGTTCACGTAGCAATCCTACGGTTGGATTCTTGGCATTGACCGTCAAGTCAGAGATATGACAGTGGATAAGATTGAGGGGTGACGAGACTTGGGATTCGCGGACTCGATGAAGGAAAAATGAGAGAAGACCGCGAACTGAAGAGGTTTAGGGAATACATGTGCTTTGATGGACCATTACATTCTTTATGTAATATAAAGAAATATATAACTAAATTTATAAAAATTTAAAATCAAGTTATTTTGTTAATTTAAATTTTCTACTATTTCAATTAAACTTGGACTTTCTAAATTATTGCATAGAGTGTTTTTTTTTCCAACGTTCTTATTTGGTGATGCGAATTTTTTTTATTTATCTTTATCACCATTACACTGTTAATCACACCTTAGCAAATAGAATTTTTCGGTCTCTTTCACCATTAAAACAACCAAACGAGTGTAACCTTATTTCAAGAGAGGAGACATGCGATTCGCATGTTATTTGTATCAATTTGAACTATTTTAGTGTTTTTGGGCTCTGGAGACATGACAATGAAACAACAAGTCGGTCCTGACATGAGACCTACAATAATAGCTTATTCCATAAATGGGATAAATGGTAACACAATTTAAGACTGCAAATACTGTTCTTACCATTATTTCTTCGTGTGCATCTATTTCTTTTTTTATGTTCCAGAAACCCTTATCAATATAAAGTGCAACTGCATAGCCCTTGTAGATTTCCTTTCGATTGAGAAATTGTTCCTATAACACAATTATTGTTAAACATTTCCAGTATTGCAATTTACATATTTACATATTTCAATAGAATACATGTTTTCATGTTTTGCGAGATAGTTACATTATGAGTTGTCAATCAGAGGTAACGGAACAAAACATTTTACACTTTACGAAAACGTGGTATTTAATAAGATTGAGATCAGATGGTGCTGATATTTTTAGTCAGCTGCACTCCACGAATGTTAAGTTCCACCAGACCCCAACCGTTTGTTGTATTTAAAGGGCCGAAAGGGAGTTCATGTGCATGTGAAGATGCCTAATTAGGTTATGTACCAATGACTCTCAAAGGTTTTATGTTCTTAAACAATGCCATGAAACAGCTGTCAGCTTAACTGCAGTGTACATGGATTGCTTACAAGCCACCATATCCAAGCTTCGCAACGGGAAGAGAATGCTAAAGAGAATAATTTGTTCTATGAATATGATGTATAACAAGTAAATAACTCATAAATAAAAGTCCACAATGTTGGTAAAGCATGAACGAAATCATTTTTAAACACGTATTAATCAATTTGGATATTATAATATTAAGTGTACTCATAAAATACCATTAAAACTTTACAAGCCGTCAGGGTAGTGTCCTACGAATTTTCCTAGTATTAAAATAAAAAAATACTCTGTCCCATAATCCTGTTGTATATTGGCCCTATTCATGGAAAAATTATTGACATACTCCAAACTTTCACATCTACAATATTAGTTCTTTCCATTTAAGTCATTAAATTGATCATTAATGTACCAAAAGTTAGCCTATTCAGTGTATTTTGTAGTATTCAGTGCCACATTCCCAAAATATCGCATATCATGTAAGAGATAAAAAAAACATATCTATAAACCATCATACTTAGACAGTTCTCAATTTGTATCACAGCTTTTTGTTGCTGGTGAGTTAGCTGTTGTCATAAGGTCAAACAAACAATAAATAAATATATAAATTGAGCCGTGACTAATTCCACCGGGCGAATGTCACGACTCATATTCAATGGTTCAAGTGTATTTTTTTATAGTGGGCTAGTTTAGTGTGTCGTTTTGTTACTTCCACGACCCCGAACAAGGCTGTGGGGTTTTGTTCCTTTTACTCTTTCCGCCAGCAACTCATAGGTTCAGCGACGTCAGAGCCGTTTGCCTCGCAGAGGATTTTCAGAACAAAGTATTCTTTTACATCTGTCCCTATGCTTTACCTTTTGCAAAGCAGTTTTGTTGATTGTTCATTCCTTTTGTTCTGCTACGCAATGGAGTAAATTTTAGTACGCCCTGCGCGCCTTTTGGGGCCCGTGAGGAGGACATGAAGCAGACCCGAGCTATTTTGGCATAGAGGAAGTTTGTTTCGCCTTGCTGTCTCTGGGATTATGGCCTACCTCTCCGTTCTGCTCGTTTTCCCCTCCCGTGCTGCTCGCCTAGGAGATGGACCTTCAACTGGTAGCAGAGAAGCTTTTCCTACTTGGGGCCAATCTTTTGGACTTTGGGATGCCCCCTCTCTGCCCAGTTTCATCGCTCCTCCACCTAGTGACTGAGATGCCCTAGACAGTTACCGCCTAGTTACCGCAAGTTACTACTGTTGTTATTTAGTGTCATTTATTGTTGATTAATTTTTAGATTTTTATATCAAGATTTAAAGCCTATTTATTGTTATTTTTTGAGAAAAATTTATTCTATAGTTTTTAGTAATTCATTTATAAAAAAAGAAATTTTTCAAGAGCATTTATTTTTGGGGCCCCTAAATGTTAAATTGTTGCCAGTTATTTAAAGGAAGAGTTTTTTTTATATATCCATTGTTGCAATTTTACAAATTTTATTTTATTAAGGTTAAAACTGATTAAATTTTACTTTGACTAAAATTAGCCTATTTGAATTTTTTAAATTAATGTTTGTAAGTTAGTAGGTCAGAGTGGTATCTAAATTCCTTTAAAGTTTTTGAGAGTATTTAATTCATGTATTGTTGTTGATTTTGTTGTTATGTTTATTTAAATGATTAATTACAGCTCGTTTCTCTCAAATGGCGTGTTGTTCTTGAACCTCCATCCATGGTTCTCATTTTGTTAAGTAAAGTTTTGTGAGCCGCTCCTCGGGCCTGCGCATGGATCACGCTTCCATTTCGTTAGTCTGGGTGCAGGCACGAGGGCATGGTTCATCTGGTAGCAGAGCGTGGTTATGTTGGCTGCGTCCTGGGTGCCTTGTCGTGAAACTTGGTTTCACGACTCGGATACTTAGAGATGCGATCACCGTCCGCGTTCTTTTTTTTTTTTTTTTGAAGGACCGTGGATGGATTGGTTTCTTGGAAAGTTCTGGCCTGGCAGTTTTGGGAAAAGGTCTTGTCGTTGTTGTGGTGGGGCGTAAACACATTTTATTAGGAGCTCGCCCTTTGGCCGAGGCACCGGGTGGAATTGGTAGTAATGACTTGCATCCTTAGGGAGCAAGGGAGTCTAAAGCATGGTCATGTGTCAAAGATTTGTGTGTACACCCCATCACACAAGTGTTAGGTGTTGTCTAGTGTATGTATCGGTGTGTGTTTGTGTGTGTGTACGTTCGTGGGTCATTTGTTGTTTTTTTTTTGCGATACTTGCGGTATGAATGGGCAGGTTCTTCTTTTGGGCCCCATCAGGTGCGTAGGCATCAACGTCCAGAAGCCTTAGGAATTAAATTTCTGTGTTTTGTTTTGTAAAAAAAAAATTTTGTTGTCTGTTGTTTTGAGTCAAGTACTGGTTGAGACTCGGTATGGCGTCAATTGTGCCAGAATATTTGAGGAAGCCGGAGCTGGTGTACGAGGTGCGGTCCCGGGGGGAGACTCCTGGAACTGATGTACGCACTTTGCGTACTCAGTTCAGACAAATTGCTAGCATGCCTCAAGCTTGGGTTGAGTCTCTCAGTTTGAATGAGGAACTGGAGGCATGTAAAGAGAGGATGGAAGAGCTAAGTGGGGAAATTAATAGTTGGAGTAGTTTGCCTATGGGCTCAGCTAAGGGTTCGGCCATGACACAGCTGACGCACTGGCGTAAGCGTCTACTCTTGGTTTCAGGGCAACCTGAAATCCAGGATGAAGACAAGAGTTGGGTGGAGGCCCTAATTCTTGAGCTGGAAGGAATTTTGGAGAGTATTAAGGCAGGAAAGTCTGTCAAAGAGAAAGTTGAAATTTTTGAAGACAACCGTTCTTCGGAAATTTCAAACGAAGTTCCGGGAAAGTCAGTTGATGATGTGACTCCAGTGGGTACCCCCCAGGCTCCGCCTACGCCAAGTACACTGCTCCAGTTGCCTGCAAATGTTCAGATGTCAAATGCAAATGTCACACCATCCCCCTCTCACACGTCCACCTTGGCTGCGGCTACGCTGAATGTCCAGTCCCCATCTCCCTTCTCTTCTCAAGTCCATAGTTCCCCTTCCATCTCTAACTCCTTTGGCAAACTTCCCCATCCCCTTGCCTCTGTCCTGAGTGGTTTCCAGCCGGTGGACGGGTTAGATGTGAATGGTCTTTGTTTTTTTCTGGAGAGTGTTTTGCGCATGCGTGAATACACTGACATGTCAGACGCCACTTTGATGGAACTCATTGCTCCATACTGTCTGAAACCGTTGGGGGACAGATTGCTTGATTGCTTGCGCAGAGGCGTCAGCTTTGATGTTTTTCATAAAGAGGTTTTGGAGCTTTTCATGCCCCGTCGGGTCATGGAAAAGCTGAAAGTTGAGAGAGTTTTTCGTCCTCAGCAGCCAGCCGAGTCTCTCAGCCAGTACGTGGGGGACATTCGCACGGTGGAAAGGGTCTTGCGTTTGGGGATCAGTGAGCTTGAGCTCATTGACATTGTGCTTCAGGGGTTGAAGCCTGAGGAACGCTCCCGTCTGGTTTTTGCGCCACGACCTTCATCTTTTGCGGATCTGGACAGACTCTCCATCCTTTCGAGATCTGTACAGGACGCTGATTTCCAGAGAGACCAGGCAGCGGGGCATCTTCCCCTAGCTAGTCATCATGCTGTCGTAGCACCCGTGGGGTTGGGTCCCGAACCGCCGCAGTGGCAGAGGCAGCCCGTTGTTTGTTTTGGTTGTGGGCAACCAGGTCACATTCGGCGGCATTGCCGTCAAGGTGGAAATTTTGGACGTGGTCCAAAAACTAGTTTGCTCACAGGAGGAAAATCTGCCCAATCCTTCCTGTGAGGTTGTTGGTGTTAAAGTAAAGGGCAATAATTTGAAAGTTTTCTCAAGTAAGTCAAAGTCAAAGCCTATTTACGTTTCTGTTGCCTCCCCTTCTGGGAGTGTTGTGCCTGTGACTGAGCCTCTGCTGCGGGGGATTGCGGGCCTTGCTTCCATGGGCGTGAAAGCGGCGCGCTCAACTTGCCCATGTCTCAACATCTTCATAGGTTCCACGGTGCAGAAGGCCCTAGTGGATTCTGGGTCATCCCGTTGCCTCATTTCCCTGTCCCTTTTTGAAAAACTTGAATCGTCTGGGCTTATCAAGCAAGTTGAGCGAAAAACTCCTATCTGCTGGACTGCGTCAAATTCACCCCTTCCCATCATCTATGAAGCCCGTTTCAAGTTCAAAATTGAACATTTTTCTTGGGTTTGGAGTTTTTGGGTGGCGAAGGACCTATGTTTCCCTGTCATTTTGGGAGCGGATTTTATCAAGCACACTGGCCTAATTTTAGATTTAGGCAGAGGTCAGTGTTTTTTCCGATTTGCGAGACGGGTATTGATATCTTTTGCTGATGAAATTGGTGGCGGTGCTGCGGTAGTTGAGCCTGAGATACCCAGCAAGCCAACAATTGATCCGTTAGGGCATCTGACTACTTGCGAGGCTGAAGCCATCAGAACCTTGTGTTCTCGTTTCCCAGATGTGCTGACGCCAAAGCTCGGAGTCACTAACCTGTTAGAGTACGAGATTCGTCTCACAGATACCCGTCCCGTTCGCTCTCACCCATACAAATTAGCTCCACCCAAAATGGAAACACTCAGAAAAATCATTGACGAACTTCTGGAAAATG